ATTATCTCCTTAAAAAATTACCCATGTCATCTCTTTCTTGTGTTACCGTGACTGAGGTTAATTTAAAGTTGACTACGCTCGATACTCTTACAAACTACAAGAATGTCTATTTTATACCTTATAGATTAGGCATCACACAGTTTCTAGGACTGATCTACAAAAGCTTGTCCTAAATTCAAATGTCCACATATTATCTCACCAGCAAGGGTCTAACCAGGTTTTGCTCCTTGATTACATCTGCACTCGCACAAGCAACCTTGTACCAAGGAACTTACCACTGTCTGAGCTGTCCTGATTCTCCAGAGTATAGGGAATTTAAGCCACGATTGCTCTGAAGGTGAAAAAATGCTAAGGGTTCTATACAATATACTTATATTCCTTTTTTTCAAATAAAAACGTTCACAAGAGTGTAAAAGATACGGAAATACCAAGAGAGGTGACCTTTTGTAAGCACATTCATGTTCTCCTGGGAAATAAAGAATAAAGTCATTCACCACCAAGTGTAATATTCCTCACTTCCACTTGCCTGGTGAAAGGAATCAACACAGGTAGTTTCAAATTAAAACACAGTTGAAGCAGCTAGGCTGAAAATGGTTCTCTGCAAAAAGGGAAACTAAGACAACAGAATGCTGTTTATTAAAACTTGCATATATGATTATAACTTGCCAGGTCTTCATGCATCATCTCCCCACCCCCATTACTCTGGTCACCAGGACAGGCCCAAAGATACAGACATTTAATGTAACATTTGAGGATGACAGGAAATAGAGTTCCCTTGCAAAATGAGCACTTTCCCCACATACCCCACATACAGAAGCACATGACTCCAATAAGTAAAAAGGGCAAAGGTTATTTCTAACAATTTCTGTGTAAGTGCTCGGAAATCCTGAGTTCACTCATTACAGAGCCACTGCGGAGCCCGATTCTGTAATGAAAGTGTGGACCAGGGGGACCCGCTACAGATGGGAGGGAGGTCATGTTACTACTCGCCCGGGACACAGCTGGTCTGCGGCAGGCCCAGATTAGAACCCCAAGTGTCCATGCTCCGCTCCCAGAAAACTCTCACATCTCTCAAAATAACAGAACATAAGGAACTGGGACACATTCACCCGCGGCCCAGAATTAGTTTCTATAAAATGAAAACTCATAATCTAATCAAGGTGGTGTGTTGACCAGTCCTCCCTACTGATTATATTAGTTAGATCAGCAGACAAAACGGATTTAAATTTTCTTAAGTTGTCAGTTTTAGGGCTTTTGTTTTATCTTTCTTTTCAAATCCTTTAAGACCATATTATTAAAAATGTCTGCTTCACCGTTCTTTGAAGTGACAAACTAAAAGTATGACTTTGGGGGTGTCTCATTCATAAGTAACACCTTTTATGAACATGTCTGTAGAACCTTCAAAGTGGGAAAACTACTTTCCAACTTTGATCATTAGAATGCCCCAAACTTGGTGGCATTACATGTATAATATAAAAAAGCACCCATCCCCAAGGCCAGGGAAGGGGAGAGTGAAGAAAATTAAAAGTTACCAGCACCCATTGTGCAAAGAGGTCATAGTTCACACAGTTCTAACAGAGGAGGCTCTAATAGCTTCACTGACAAAAGGGGCCTTAAAAATCATCTCATGGAGGTACATGAACATGTTTTCATACATAAAGCACTAAGGATTATACAGATTCTTCCCTCTTTGTGGGGAGTTTTACTTTTATCTCTAATTAATTAATATCATAATTTCTCATTTTAGAAAATAAGGATAATCCCACATCCATTTGGTCTAAACCCTTCGCTTCTTCAGATAATGCATTCATATTTTATTATTCATCTTGATTTGAACAAAAGGCAAGATCCCCTCTCTCCCTTTCTGCCCAGAAACCCCCATTGGGAAAGTAATTTTCAAGATGAACAACAAATTCATCTCATGGCCTGTGAACTTGCTGGTTACCCCAAGGCTTGTGAATTCTTAGGATTATTTTAGATTTGGTAGCATCAGTGGGGGGCTTACGCAGTCATAAAAGGCACGGTCTTCAAGATTTAAAGTTTCAGAATTCTCTATCTCACTGTCCTTTTGCAGGATCTCTTTAAGTTTTAAATATGCCTCTTCTAAACTCTTTGAGCTTAAGTGTAGTTTGTCGTTGAAGGTTTACGAAAAAAAGCACAGGCTAAATGCCAAGGCTGTTGGTGTAAATCACGTTTCAAACTGGTAATTACTTATTAGCAGAGAAAAGACTGTTTGAAAGGGTGCTGTCTCATTAGAAAGCTATTATGGAACGCCTGCAATTTTGCCTTTAAATAAACAGTTAAACCTGAAGTACCCATTGTGTGATAGGTAAACCAGACCAGAAGAACAGCTATTAATAAAATTTGCAAGGATCTCTCCTTTCCTAAAGTTTTAAAAAAAAGTTTTTCCCCACATTTTTAAGAAATATTTGTTGGGGGGAATTTCTAAAAATATTCTCAACTGAAGTTATTTTATTTAGGACATCTCTGAAGAGGCTTATCTTGTCCTTTGACTCCAACAACAAAAAGTTCTTTTTACTTAAAATGAAGCATAATAATACCAGTAGTTATTATACCAAATGACTGGACAAACAGAAAGAAGAAATATGAAAAGCCTCATGTGTTTCTAAGCTGCTTCATTTTCTATTTCATTCTATGTGATAAAGGCTCTGTTTGTATCCAGAGTCACTAACTTGTGGATACCAGTGGATTTCCTTTACATTTCTTAACAGGAAGGGACCTCACTTTTAAAAGATCTCAAAGTGTCTCAATATACCATCTAGTCTCATCAACACTCATTTGGAAAGAAGCCATATTTGAAGAGGAAATTGATAAGATGCCCCCACCCCATCCCACCCCAAAAAGATGCATATGAGAAAAGAGTCCACCTACTCTCCCAATGTTCACTGTAGATGTTTGAACGTTTACTATTTCCTTCCATTAGCACCAACACCTTTTATTACACGTATTAATTAACATTTAAAATAAAGAAGAAATAATAGTCCTCCCTTCCTGGACAAAGTCATATTCTATGTAACCTTGTAGCCCCATGAGAATCTAGCAAGGCACTTAGCTCTCAGAGGGCACTCCACAAAATGCTGAATGAATGACACAGTTCTTCTTCCCCCATCTTTTGGTTTTCTGCTTTCCTTAGTAACCTAACATCAAACCTGAACAGAAAACCACCAGCCTAAAACAGCTTATCCTCCAATATCACCGTAAGACCAGCTTACCATTTGCAGGTCAAGAAATGAAATAAGCAAAGAGAATCAAATAAAATTAAAAGCTTCTTCCTCGAGCCCTCAAAAATACCTTGCAGAACTGGCAATGGCAGAGAATTTCTCTAGGAAAGAATGAAACTGATCAGATGAAGCCACATCAAGATAGATAAAAACAGGCTCCATGGAAATGTGCCTGAAATCATTAAAGAGTCTTGCAGGTTTGTTGAAGATTTTATGGCCACCTGCCCGCCTATAGCTTCGCACTTGGTATGGGTACTGAAGAGGGGCAAAAAAAAGAGGGGAAGTATTCAGTGTGAAATGAAGACATTCAAACCCTAAGCATATGAAACCTGGGATTATCTGAACACTTGGCGAAGACATGGGTTTATGTGTTTTGAGGTTAGATTTAGATTTAGGTGTATTTCAAAATTTACTGTACAAGTCTGAAGAATATAGCAACCACAGCAGTGATTGACTTAAATTATTGAAGTATAAACTGCAGTTGTCACTTCCTTTACAAATTTGGCTTTTCATGAAAGAGAAAATCAAGGGAGCCTTGTTGCCAAAATAGTATAACATCCTTATGTCGCCAGATTTTGCAATAAAAAAAGATGGTTATTTTATTTAGGTTTTATATTCATGGAAATGTGGTCACAAGACATTTTTAAAGCATGAGATACTCGCCTCAGTTTTTTAAAACTTGCTGTTTTAGGAGAAAGATAGTAGTGCTAGAGTGTAAGTACCAACCGCAAGCTTAAAGCAATCTTCCCAGTTAAGACAGGACTTAGAATGATTGGGTATAGTATGTGCTTTCAAATATAATCTCAGTTCTTCCATTATCCTGTGTTTAGACAAAAATTAATTCTTTCAGGATGAAAAACAAACAAAAATTGATGTCTTACACATGATTACATACAAGTGGTCAACAATAAATAAGGGGAAAACAAGGAAAGCATGCCAGCATTTTCCTCCTTCAGCATTTCCTCCAGGATTTTATCTCTGGGTTCCCGAGTCACACACCAAAGCCATTCTGTTGTATTTCCAAGGGGAACTGCTTTGAACAGCACCACTGCCTTTTGAGATGAAACCTTTTTTGAAGCCTTCATTTCCATTTACCGTTTTTGTTTGTCCTTTCTGTCTGACATGCAAATACACGATACAGCCTCCATTCTTTCCATACAACCTAATTCAAAGCAACATAGGTTAAATCCACACCGAATCATGTGAGCATACAATCCGCATACACACCATTACCCCACAGAATGCATTCATTGAGCTCCAACCGAGTTCTCTGCGTACAAATCCGACGAGCCGGAGATGTATGCGGAGCTCTTCCCTGACTCAAACCATCCAGAACTACGCCTGGAACCTGTTCCCGTCTCCGAAAAGGGGGCTGTTTAAATGCCCACTGGGATAACTGGCCACAATGCAGGCTCCAGCAAGCCCGGTACTGCAGGCGACCCTGGATGCAGGCTCTCCCACAAAGCTCAAGGAGGCTGCTGCGCGGAGCTTGCAGTCATTTATCTCTCTGCAGCCCAAATGCCGGGCACGTCCCCCTCCCTTATTTTACCTAACTAATAGCTTTCAAACCCCATATTGAGAGGGCCTGCTGTGGATCTTGCGGAGGTACAAAATGGTGGATGTGAGCTAATTTTTTTCCTGCTTTCCCCATAACTTATCGCATCCATCAGCGCCCGGCCTCCCTTGCCAGCACCCCGGCAGCGGCGCAGCGAGCACGCCCCGCGGTCCCGGCCCGGGGGCAGCAACGCGGTTACCAACCTGATGTCATGTAGCCCCGCGAAGCCTGGGGCGCGAAGGCCGCGGGGAAGCGCTTGTGTAGGCGGTAGTCCTTCTCGCTGCGGGACCTCATGCGGTCCGAGGCCCGGTCCGAGAAATCCGAGCTAGGCCAGGCTCGCCGCAAGGTTGTGCTCCGGGTCTTCTTCATGGTGGGGAGGGCGACCTGCTGCCCCGATCCTGGGGCCTCAGCGCCGGGGCCAAGCGTGCGGCTTCATTCGTCTACAGCGGGCACGACCCGGGCCGACTCTGCGCACATTTTCCCAGCCCCTCCTCATCGGCGTCTACACCGCCAGCGGCGGGTCCGGCCCTCCCCACGCCCCCACACACCCCCACGGCGAAGGCTCCGATTTTACACACGTCCCACAATGCATTACACTTCATTTGCAATCCTCCCGACTTATAGCTTCCAGATTCCTGGGGGGAAAGGCACGTTAGGAGGCTCCCCGGCCAGGAGGAGGCGGGGAGGGGGCGGNCCGAGACTTGCAGCGTGAAAGCAATGGGAGCGCAGACAATGGCCCGATTCAGCGCAGGAGTGCTTAGCCAACTGTGAGCCCCGGCACAAAAGACCCAAACAAATGAGGAAGCCGAGGCCTGCGGGGCTGACCCGAGATCGGGCGCCCGGGAAGCCAGAGGGGCGGCGACAGACCCTTCGCACCAGGCGGCTCAGCGCGAGGCGTGGGGATGACAGTGTCCAAGTCGTATCCCCCTGGGCCTACCAGCCGCACGGCTCGCAGTCCCAGGCGCAGGCGGGCTCTGCCTCCCCTGCAGTCCTCGGGAGGCAGTCTTCATTACAGAGGCTCGAAAGTGGGGGCAGCGCGTGTGCACAGGGATCCGAGCAGGCTCTGCAGACAGCAGCTGCGGCGGGCGGGCTCTGCCGAATCCAGGAAGAGCGGGAGTCGTCCTCGCGGCTGCAGCGTCTTGTCAATCTTGGTCCTTCCAAGGCTCAGGGTGGTATGCGTGCCTGCGCACGTGTTTGTGCGCGCGTATGTGTGTGCCCCGACACGCATGTGCCCCCATACACATGCATGCTCCTACCTACTGTCCGAGGCAGCGACAGCAGCCATGGCTGCCAAGGATGCGGAGCCTGACGATCGACACCCGCACGGTGGCACCGCTCAGCCGTGAGCAGGCTGAATGGCCATTGAAGGGCAGGAAGCAGGACAGCCGCCCAGTCTCATGCTAATCACCAAGCTGCCTTAAATTAAGAGCACGGATCCCATCCGTCTTCTCATTTTCATGAGAAACACCCAGCGGAGGCGCTTGGACCTTGGCTGATGCTTCAGCCTGGAGTCAAAGCTTGGATATTTACATATTTTTAGGATGGTCCCTCCCTCTCGCAGAAAGGGAGAGAAACCCCTCGATGGAACAGGGCGATCTGCGGTGCCTTGCTCTGCCCACCTGCGCCAACCTCGAAATCAGCTAGAGCCAGGGAGGGGGCGCCACCGAGAGCTCCTCCGACAGACTCCAACAGCCGGGCACCTGGTCTACGCCGCCTGGAAAACGCGGTGGAGGTGGCCCCAGCTCTTCCTCTGTCCTCAAGCCCCAGGTGGAAGTCACTACCAGCCCGCTAACCTGCATTCAGATCCACAGCTCCTTTACACAGCACGGCTCAGCACAGCTGTTTCTGGTCCAACAACCAATCGCTAAAGGACAACAATGCGCGCTATGCCAAAGGGAAGGAGGGGAGGAGGGGGCGCTGCGACGCCCCAGCTGGAGGTGCCGGGCCTGAGACAAGGCCCAGGACGCAGAGGTCACACGAGTTAAAGGAGCTTGGACACATTGCTGCGAACCCCCGTGACACTGCGCTGCTACAGGCTCTTCCAAAAAACCCCGCTTACCTCTCCATTTGGGTTTCCAAAAATGCTTTAGTATTGTAAACAACAAAAATTAACCTGGTTTTTCTTTTTTTGACATTTATTTTATTTTATTTTACATTTTTGCACACTTTTTTTTTGCACATGTGACGATATCAGGTTCAAAATCATTTTTTATGCTGTTGTTTCATATTCACAGGTGCCAACGTGCAGAGACAAGGATATGAAATATATGGGGCTCTGATCTTATCAAGCTGATACCGCAACAAAATAAAAAACAACCCAAAAGCCAGAGAGTTCTAAAAGATTCAGCTCTCACACAATTCGGTGCTATTCTAAGGCTTGAATTCTTTGGGGGGCAGGAAGGTTTTTGGAGAGCCGTGCTGAGGGGGCGGGGCTTAAGCCACAAGCATTACAGAATCCAGAACTAGAGCTTCCATTCAATATCTCAAGGCTGCCCTCTGTAACCTGAGACTACTATAACTAATCTATCTCTTGGGATAGCTGGGGGTATAAAAATAAACAAATAAAAATCACTAAGTATCATATGGAACCTATATTTACATTAAGCAAAATTTATTACTAACTAAACCAATTAGCTAATGTTCAGTGACATTTTTTTAAAAGTTAGGATAGTCCCCCAAAAGGCACATTTTGCTAAAATGTCTTCTTTACTGTAAGAGGAAGACTAAGAACAGAAAGACTATAGCTTTAGAAGCTATAGAGTAAATATGTAAAGAAACAGAAAGGTAATAAAAAATAATTAATGAATGCATGATATTGACATTTAGATATTTCCATTCAATTCAAAAAACAATTACACCAGCGGTTGAGTCCAGCCTGAGCTGAGCAGCCGCTGAGCTGCCAACAGGTAGCAGGATGGCTCAGCTAAAAACAAACAAACAAACAAACAAAAAAAACCAATTACACAGTGTCTCCCGTGAGACAAAAGTGGTTCTAAGAATGATTACAGTAGTTATGACTGAAGGCTAGTGGTGACTGCTGTGACAACTGTGATATTTATCATTCAGAGTATAATAATTGTATAGTATATGACAGCACTGGGATGGGGGCTGGGCAAACAAAATACCCCGTGCAGCTTATGATCTAAGTAGTAAGCAAATAAATGCGTGAATTGTGCTACATTCTACAAAAAAGAGCCAACTCTCTGGACACATGAGTTAATCTGAGACCTACAGGATGAGGAGTCATCCTAGCAAAGAGAGGGGAAACTGGTGCTTCGGGAAGTGGGAAAGTACATGAAAAGGCCCTGAGGTAGGAAAGAATCTTGGCTTCTGTTGGGAGAGGTGAGAGAAGGGCAGTGCGACCGGAATTCGAGCCTAAGAGAAAGGTGTGTGATGAGGTCATGGAGGCAGGCGAAAGCCAGATCATGCAAGGACTTGCAGGCCATGTAAAGAGTTTTGTATTCTATTCTAAGTACAGTGTAAACCACTGAAAGGTTTTAAGCAAAAAAAAGCAATGTTTTAGAAGTTCTATATAGAAGGGGCTTAGAGGAAGGAATCTGAAGGGAGGGGTCGGCCAGGAATTTTCTGGAGAGTAAGTTTGAATCTTACTTGACTTAGAAAATATTCCTTGTTCATATGAAAGATGGGGGGGGGGCGGGTAATGGACATTTTGAAAGGAGAGCTACACCTCCACTCAGCCACCTCTGCATGCAGGACTTGCGAGGAAGTGATACCACCCAGTGTCCATACTCTCCACAGATGCCCTCGGAGCCAAGGCCAAAAGGCCAGACACAGAAGAATCAGGCAGTAAATGGATGGGGTGGCTGAATCAGATCAGAGAGTAAGGTAGGAGAGGAAGGGGAACCTAAGTAATTTATCCATCCTAATCAGGTGACAGCCAAAGAGGTTGTGAAGGTAAGGCTTGACTCTAGAAAATAGCATATTGTGAGACCAGTCTTATCTAAAGCAAGTGGAGTGGAATTCCTGTTAAAATCAAACTCCATATGTCCATCTGTCCAATGGGAAGATTTCTGGTCATATGCAACCCCTAGGTCCCTAGTCCTAGTTTCAAATCTCTCAACCTACTGGAGACAATCAAGTAACTGTCCACCAAGTAAGCTCAGTTGTGTAATCCCAGTATTCATTACTAGGAAAGTTTAGAATGAAATAGAGAAATGAAAAACAAATCAATTTTTATAGTAGTGTTTTTTTAATCACGCTTAAGAATAATTTGTACATTTGGTATTTACATATCAGATAGATTGGCAACATTAGACACAATTGTTTTGCAATTCTAATTCAAATATATAATTGATTTTAGATTTTTAATTTTAAGTTGAAAGGTATAAGAATAATTCTCCTCATTTAAAACTTTGGTTTATTACATTTACAAGAGTTGAATGAATTTAAGAGTTATAAGAATGTAAACTCCATGAAGGCAAGAGATACTTTCTGTTTTCTGTATTGTCATTCATTGTTCTCTTTTGTTCATAGTTTATCTCCAGTGGCTAGCAAGGACTGGCATGATGACCAAGGAAGCCTGATTAAGTATTCTGGAAGACTGAGTTTGAAGCCTTCTCAGTCAGACATATTAAGTGCTTTTTAAAAATTAAATATAGTACCAAATTTCTAAATGCAATTTAAGTTTTTAAGGGAATGTACATAACTGTGTTTCTAAATGGGGCTTACAATTAGCTCAAGGGACTTTAATCTTCAATTTGAATTGATCAAAAATTTTTCAAAGGCCCCCCCTGAGAACTAGTTTTTATTTCATTATTTAAAAACTACCAAATTTACAAACGGAATGAACTGAATTCAAGACTTAAAGAAATTTTGGTTTTTCAATTTTTCCTCTAGTAAGGAAAATTTGATTCTTTGAATCTGTATCTCTAGTATACTGAACATTAATTAAAGACCTAAATATCTGTAAATGATCTTTGCTGTTCACAGAAAGCCCCATTCAGACACTACAAAGCCCACAACGACTATGCAGACTGAAGGATGTAATAGATCAGAGAAATCATATTACTGAAATGAATCAGGAAAAGGTTGATATGAGTAGAAAAGAAATGTAAGTATGTAAATGTAAGGAGTAACAGGCCTGAGCCTTGACCTTGTAGCCTAGAGAAGATGGATTTCAATCTAGGACCGCCTAAGCACACAATATCCTGAGCTACAGAGACACCCACTGATACGATACTGGCAACTTCCATTAGTACATTAGACTCATCAAATTCAGAGGCATTCCATTGAAACTACAACCAATGCTCATGGCCTCACTTTTCTGCCTAAGTATGACTTTGGTATGGTAAGAGACCAAAATACATAGAAAATAAATAGGTGTTGGTATTTATGTATGTATGGGATATGCACATCAAACTTTGTGATTAAATCATTTGTTAAATACAAATGCTGGCGAGGCTATGGAGAAAAGAGAACCCTGGTGCACTGTTGGTGGGACTGCAGATTGGTGCAGCCACTATGGAAATCAGTATGGAGGTATCTCAAAAAACTGGAAACGGGGCCGGCCGAGTGGCGCGATGGTTAAGAACTCG